CTAGGGGGGGCCTCACAACCTCCCGATCCACATTGCTCTGTGCATGATAGGGGGCGGCGTCCCAACTCCCCAATCGGCCCTGCTCTGAGCCGGACCAGGGGCTGCACCTAGGGATTAGGCCTGCCGTCTGCCACCCGGGAGCAGACCTAAGCCAGCAGGTCATTATCTCCCGAGGGGTCCCAGACTGTGAGAGGGCACAGGCCAGGCTGAGGGACCTCCCTTCCCCCCGAGTGCACAAATTTTTGTGCACGGGGCCTCCAGTATATATATATATTTAGTTCAGTTTATATTCTGTTTACATGCCTGTGTCCTCTGTTGGGAGAAAAGACTCAATATACCTCGTGATATATCTTCTTTTACTCTATAGAGCATTTTAAAAGGTCAATGATAATAAAGTTTTCCCTAGTAATATGCCCTTTAATCTTAGTTACCCACAACAAAGTCAATATGAAATAAAAAAATTCTGTGCTATGAAAATGTTTAATCTGAGAACAGGTTGTGCCTAAATGACTCACTGTTAATCTGGCAATATCCTCCTAATCTATCCCCCTATATAATTATATATATATGAATTAGACTGAGATCTGGAGACAGCATGAATACATTTTGGTGCCACTCTATTGAAGACCTTATTTGAAACTTAAATGAGCAAGGATAGGTACCTGTATGCTGGGATTTTAAAGGGAGGAGTCCTTAAAGATCAACCAGTTTGTTCCTTTCTTCATTACCTGTTCATTTTTTTTCAACAAATATTTGAGTATCTCTTCATCTTGGTATTCTTTTCTCAGATATTGGTAATAACCCCTTCAGCTCATTATCTCAAGCCTGACACCTTAAGAGCTGCACTGTCCAATACAATAGCTGCTAGCCACAGATTGCTATTTAAATTAACATTAATTAAAATGAAATAAAAAATTCAGTTCCTTAGTCTCCCCAACCGCATTTCAAGTGCCCTGTGCGGCTGGAGGCTGTCCTGTTGGACACTGGCCATCTGTAAAGGGGAGGTCAGCCAGACTGTGCTGCCTTAGTGTCCCTTGACTCCACCCTGACACATCTCAGCATCCCATCCACTTCATCATCAACACATATCTCAGGTTCTTCCCTTTAAAAAATTATCCCGTCGTACTACTTTTTAAAATATAGTTTCATTTATTTTAGGGAGGAAGGGAGAGGGAGAGAGAAATGGAAACATCAATGATGAGAATCATTGATTGGCGGCCTCCTGCACGCCCCCTACTGGGCATCGAGCCTGCAACCCTGGCATATGCCCTTGACCGGAATCGAACCTGGGGCCCTTCAGTCTGCAGGCTGACGCTCTATCCACTGAGCCAAACGGGCTAGGGCCTGTCTTATTTTAGGTCTTCATCTTCTCTCATCTGAATTAAGGCTCCAGTGTTAGGAGGACTCCAAATCCTTCCTTGCCACACCTGTCTCCAGTGGCAGCTGCGCCTTCCTCTCGCTCTTGATACCATGTATATACCTTTACCACATTGAATATTAATGCCTTGTTTGTATGACTTTTCTTCTGGAGGACCAAGAGGTTCTTTGGGGTGCAGGACTGGACTTTGATTTTGCTGGGCAGGGCCACACACCATAATGCCTGACACATTTCCACAATAAAATAAGTGTTTGTCAAGCAGAGAGAGCAGTGAAAATGGGTGGATGAAGGAGGCTGAACTGGGTTGTATTCTGAAGTCAAGAGACAGTTTGGATGTGTGGGAACTAGAATAAAAGAGGGCATTCTTATGGGGGAGCATCATGGATGCAAGCCCATTGGTAGGAAATTACATGACAACTCTGCTCCTAGACTATAGCTGCAGAGGAGCATTTTCAGCACCACTCAGAGCTTACCCGTGGGGATATAAACAGAATTTGTATTCTGGCATTGCAAGTAAATGTGTTCCCCTGTGCTTGCTACATGACACCTCTTTGTAGAGGTGCTGGGTTTCACACTTACTAAACTTAATCTGTAATTTCAGAGGAGCTAAAGGAAAGTTTGCCCCGTAAAATTAGGCAACATATTCAGAAAATCTGGTAAAATCTTTAAAGACCTTTATGGTTATAGCTTATAACTATAAACTACATAAGTATAGGCTTATGAATTATGTTAGACATGTTAGCAGTAGAGTAGGAAAGAAAAATTCATGTGTGCATACCCAAAAGGAGCCCATCTAACACAGTAACTAAAATGAGTGACTGGCTAGACCAGGGGTGGGCAAACTTTTTGATTCGAGGGCCACAATGGGTTCTTAAACTGGACCGGAGGACCGGAACAAAAGCATGGATGGAGTGTTTGTGTGAACTAATATAAATTCAAAGTAAACATCATTACATAAAAGGGTATGGTCTTTTTTTTTCAATAGTTTTATTCATTTCAAACGGGCCGGATGTGGCCCGTGGGCTGTAGTTTGCCCAAGGCTGGGCTAGACAGACCTGTCTTAAGCCAACCCCTTCCAAGCTGTGTGTTATCCTGGGTAAGTCACCTTCCGGTCTTCAATTTCCTTGCTTTTAAATGGAGATATTACGTGCCCTATGAAGATTAAGTTAAATATAAAATATATGTCACATTGGCACTGTGCTTAGTCCTGAGTAAAGCATTCACCAAGTGATAATAACAAAATAATAGTTAAATAGCCTTTTACAAAATTGGGAAACTCATAGTTGTGTTACCTAAAGGAAGAGTTAATACATGATGCTTAACATAAATGGTTATCCAGAAAACACAGTCATCTAGATATAATCACCTCTAAAGTGAAGTGTATAGTGTTGGTTACTTTCATAATTATGCAAATAAGATGATCCAGGAGAAGTAAAATTTGGCCTGGATAACCTAAAATCCAGGGACAGTTCTCTGTATTTGGAAATAAAATGATCACTTATACATATTACTTAGGAAAAGTTCCTACAGCTGTTCCTAAGGAAAGGGAAGAAAATTAGGTACTGCTTTTAATTTTAAACAAACTAGTAGGACGTGCATAAATTAGTGTCATCGAATGATCTTTCTATTTTTTCCGTAGTTTCAAAAAGATGTTGACAGTCTTGACTGTGTAGGTTCTCATTCTGTAAAGGCCCACATACAATTCATGCATGTCCAGATAGTTCTCTTTAGTAGACTGAAAGCTGCTTTTCTTTCCTGTGGAAATTGCACACCTCTCCCTTCGTCTGCCAGGGCTGGAGGGAAGCCAGCCCGGTCCCTGGTGCCTTTGGGTGGCCCGAGGGAAGCCAGCCTGGGTCCCGGGTGCCTGCTCGCTGGCAGCCGGAGGAGGGAAGCAGCTGGGGTCCTGGGTGCCTGCCGGCGGGCAGAGGAGAGAAGCCCAGGTCCTGGTGCCAGCTGGAAGCCGGTGCCAGCAGCCAGGGGAAGGAAGGCCTACTCTTGCACGAATTTTCGCACATCGGTCCTCTACTTATATTATAATTAGTTACATTCATGAGACTGAATTGTTTCATGAACATGCATTTCCTTATTTGTTTTTTTGTTTGCAGTGTTTAAAGGGGAGCTGACTTACGCAGGTGCTTGGTAAAGTTTTGCTGAATGAATAAATGCTTAGTCATGAAATTTTTCTTGTATGTACTCTTTTAAATCGTATTGTATTTTTTTGGTACCTCACAGCCCCAGCACATGGTAAACAATATCAGACTGCTCTATAAGTTCCCTGTTAATGTCAGTTATCCTGGAAACACTTTATAGGGTCAATTCAGCAGGTATTCAATCTTGTTACTATTTTATCTCCATATTATATACTATTAAAATATGTATATAGTGATTGTCAAGATTTTTATTGAATTTAAATTTTTTTGTGTGTGAAAGTAATGCAGATGTTCATATCTGATGGAATTCTTGTGTGAAGGATCAGTATTATATTCTTTTTGAGCAATAACAAAACCTAAAGTATGGGTTGTTGTTGGGTAAGTGAAATGAACATTTCAGTTGAATAAACTTACAATATGCTTGGCTTTTTATTTTTCTGCCCTTTGGCTATTATTTACTCTAATTCTTTGAAGTTAATTTTAGAGCTTACTCTAGGGCAGGGAGTTGGAATTATACAGGAATTCACATACCTTATTAGTTGCTTGTTTTAATTTAAAAAGAACTACTTCCGGGATTAGAGCTCCCTTGATGAAATTGTTGAAATGTGAAATTTGAATTTAAGCCTTTTTTGAAGATTTGAATGCATTTTGCTTGCCAGTATTTAATTTTGTTTTCTTTTTAGTTTTAATTTTGATTGCTGTTACTACTGAAACCTGGGCCAAAGTGGTGATGCTGCCTGAGGGAAATTTCTGCAACCCCTAAGTCAACACTTACACGGTAAGAGTGTATGACTTTTACCTTTAAAAGCCATTTAATTTGTGTAATGTTATAGTTTAGAATTTTAATTTGAAACATAACAGGATAAATATTTTAATACATCAAAATACTGATATTAATGTATTTTAATATATAAATTTTAATAATAATAGATCTTTATATCCTAATCAACAGTAAGAATTTGAAAGAA